CATTGAGTGTGATGGACACTGCTGCCAACTACACGTACAGGATAGAGGTTGTCAGTGGAACCTCTGGCTGGAACGAGACGTCCAACGTCACCCGAGCTGAAATCAGAGAGCTGCTCCCTGGGACAATGTACAACTTCACAGTGTTTGCTGTAGCCAGTGATGGTCAGACTGAAGGAGAAGGAAAGCCCATAAGCCAGTATACAAGTAAGGAAATGGTGCCTTTGAGTTGCAAGTAATTTGGGAGCTTGTCCCAAATTGTCCTGCTTTGTTACCGTGGGCTTCCAACCTTGTACTGTGTCCATGGTGACGTTGCTTTGCTCCAGGTGCCTGAATTCCAGGCGCCCTCCAGTACAAAGGGAAGGGCCTGAGGTGGTGTCTGTGTGTGTGTGCCCTGCCTGTGAAGCAGGGCTTTCTTCAGCGTGGCTGCTCAAGGCTATGTAGAGATCCAGCTGCCACAACAAGGTGACTTCCTCTAGTCCTGAGGGCTGAGCAGGGCCCCTAGAACGCTTGAGGGAGCAGGGTATTGCAGCTCCTCCCAAAGAGCATGGTGTGCAGGGCTGTGCTGGCCAGGGTCACAGAGGCCTTTTGCTCTTAAGGGTTGTTTTGAGCTCTTTGCAGAGCCCCTGGCCTGTGGCTCCTGTGTGCTGTGGCAGTGCCCACAGCCACATTGTCGAGCGTGGTGCCGTTTCTGTAGACTTTGCACCATGGCTCCTCCTTCCCAGGTCAGAAGGACAGAGGGGAGGGGATCTTTCTTTGGGTCTAGCTCAGGGGTGGAAATGGAACGGGGAACATCCCTACAAAGCCATTAGAAGCAGTGTGTCGTGGAGCTGCTGCTGAGCAGGTCAGCTTGTCTAAGTGCCTCTCTGCCTAGCGTTGGTGCTGAGGCAGGCTCACAGACAGCCCCAGGGCAGGTCAGCTGCTGGACCTGCTCGAGGAGGCCGTTGCCTTCTGCTGCTGCTGAGGACAGGCTGGGCTGAAGGACTCAGGGACTTGTGGGTGCAATATTGGGTTAACCAACCAAGATTAAACTGCATTCTGCTTCCTTCCCTGAGTTTTGTGTGTTTCTCTGTCTGGAAACACACTGTGGAAACAAATAATTTTAGCAAGTGAAACGAAATAAAGACAGTTATGCCCAAGAACTGCTGTGGCCTTTCCAGAGAGGCCCCAGCATGAATGCTTAAAATTGGTTCTGTAGAAGTGCTGCTTGGCTAGAAGTAATGCTCGTTCTATGAGTATAGGGAGTAGGGAAATGTGGCTGTGGCTTTTTGTATTTCTCCCTCTTGACAGGTTGTTGTCTTGCTGTTCACAGAGCCCAGCCCAGTCCAGAATCTCGAGGCAGAATATGTTGGCATGACTTCTGTGAGCCTGACATGGATGGTGATGGACACTGCTGCCAACTCCTACACATACAGGATAGAGGTTGTCAGTGGAACCTCTGGCTGGAACGAGACGTCCAACGTCACCCGAGCTGAAATCAGAGAGCTGCTCCCTGGGACAATGTACAACTTCACAGTGTTTGCAGTGGCCAGTGATGGTCAGACTGAAGGAGAAGGAGAGACCATAAGCCAGTATACAAGTAAGTCAAGGTTTCTTGCAGCCTTGTTTTTGTTGGGCTGTATGTTGCTGTGCAGCTCAGGGCTCTGCCTGTGCAAGGGCTGTAGGTCAGTCCTGTTGTAGGCAGAGGTGATGTTTTGACCCTGGAGCTGGAGTTGGTCAGTGTGCCAAGTGTGGGATGTTGAAGTGCAGAAGCAGCATTGATAGAAAACTCCTGGTGGCATTTGTCCCCAAGGCTGGCAATGCAGGGAAGAGATTTTTTTTTCCCCCAGGACCTTTTTCTCCCAAATTTGGGAAAGGGGGTTGCATTCATTTCTTAGAGAATGGAGACTGTGGATTGTTATTGTTAGGGGCTCCCACACAGAGCATGTTGTGCTAGGGGAACTTCTGTGATTTGGGGTCTGGGCTGCAGCAGGAGAGTGAGCTTTAGGCAGCTCTGGTTCAGGAGAACTGCTTTGGCCATCCTGCACCTTGCCATGTTGAGTATCAAAAGTCTTGACACGTGGTGTTGGAGGGACCCTTTTGGAGCTGGCCTGCAAGGCTGCAGCCCAGCCTGGTCATTCCACAGGTGTATCTGAAAGAAAGCAGGTGCCTGTTCCTCTCACTTGTGTTGTCCTGAAACATTTCAAGAGGGACAGAGGTTTACTTGAGAGACTCCAGTGTAGGGCTATGAGGATGACTGGGGGACTGGAACACCTGCCCTGTGAGGAGAGGCTGAGAGACCTGGGGCTTCTTAGTCTGGAGAAGAGAAGACTTTGGGGGGGGGTCTAATTCATGTGTACAAACATATGAGGGCTGAGTGTCAAGAAGAAAGAGGCAACCTCTTCTCACTTGTGCCCTGTGATAGGACAAGGGGCAATGGTCACAAGCTGGAGCACAGGAAGTTCCACCTCAACATGAGGAAGAACTTCTTTACTGTAAGGGTTCCAGAGCACTGGAACAGGCTCCCCAGGGAGGTTGTGGAGTCTCCTTGGAGACTTTTAAGACCCATCTGGATGGGTTCCTGTGTGACCTGCCCTAGACTGGATGGTCCTGCTCTGGCAGGGGGGTTGGACTCCATGATCTCTGGAGGTCCCTTCCAATTCCCTAACATTCTGTGATTCTGTGGTGCCTGCATGTGTGCTCCTACCTTTCCAGCTGATTCCCAAAAGCCTGTCCTGTGCTGCCTGACTGCAGTGGCTGCTTGCCCTGTTTTCAGTGTGCACTGGCCACAGGGTGCCAGGGAGAGGGGCTTTGGAGATGGGTCTGCCATGGGAGTGAGCACAGGGCACGAGGGCTGCAGAAGGAGCAGCGTGCCTGGGGCACCCTCTGTTCTTCCAGTGATACTTCTTCTTCCTTACTCTTTGCTGTGCAGAGATACACTACCACTGTCTTTCCTCTCCACTCTTCTGTCCTTCCTGCCCACTTCTCTGGATTGCCAGGGGAATCCCTGGAAGTTGCTGGCTCGGTGGTGACCTGTGCTCCTGCTTTTCAATGTGCAGTGAAGAGGAGTTGTACTTGAGATGCTGCTTCCTCATTTTTCTGTTACCCAGCCATTGATGCAAAAGCCTCCAGGAGCAGCTGGTGATGATGTTGGGGTGCTCCTGCACTCTGAACAGTGTGTGATGGGAAGAGAGTGAAGTAGTGGTGTGCCTGTGTCTGTTCTGTGTATGTGAGCAGATGTTGTTGCAGGCTGACAGGTTGTTGTCTTGCCTTTCCCAGAGCCCAGCCCAGTCCAGAATCTCAAGGCAGAATATGTTGGCATGACTTCTGTCATCTTGACATGGATGGTGATGGACACTGCTGCCAACTACACGTACAGGATAGAGGTTGTCAATGGAACCTCTGGCTGGAACGAGACGTCCAACGTCACCCGAGCTGAAATCAGAGAGCTGCTCCCTGGGACAATGTACAACTTCACAGTGTTTGCAGTGGCCAGTGATGGTCAGACTGAAGGAGAAGGAGAGACCATAAGCCAGTGTACAAGTAAGTCAAGGTTTCTTGCAACCCTTTTCTTGGTGGGCTGTATGTTGCTGTGCAGCTCAGGGCTCTGCCTGCCTGCCCAGGGCTGTAATTCAGTGCTGTTGCAGGCAGAGGTGCTGAGCTTTGCCTGCCTGCAGTCAGAGGTGTTGTGTGGAAGAGGGTTAGCTTTCTATTGAAAAACAAAGTAAAGCAATCCCCCTCCAAAGCAGCTGTTGTTGGATGTGGTCACCTAGGCCTGTGACACAGTGAAGGGACTCTTCCCAAGAACGTGCTTCACTCGCCTGGGATTTGTGTGGGCAGTTTTGCTGTCTGCATTTTGTGGAGGATGGGGGCCTCAGACCCTGATTTCAGAGCACTCCCACAGAGAAAGTGTGTTGTGCCCAGAGAATTTGTGTGGCTGGGGCCTCTGGCTGCCACTGGGCTGCAGCAGAAGAGTGAGCTCAGGGCACAAGGAGTGGTGAAGGAGCAGGGTGCTTGGGTCATCACCTCTCTTCCTCTTCTAGTGGTATTTGATGTTCCTTCCCTTTTGCTGTGCTCAGACACACCACCATCTGCTTTCTACTTCCCCTGCAACCTCGTCTCTTTGCTGGCCACACCTATGAATTCTCAAGCAAAATCCTGGGGATGCTGGCACTGTGGTGACCTGTGCTCCTGCTCTGGAGTGTCAAAAGGAGATGAATCCCCCTCAGAGTGACTGTTCTGCAGTTCTCTCTCAGCTCCCTGTTGGTGCAAAAGCCTCCAGGAGCAGCTGGTGATGATGTTGGGGTGCTCCTGCACTCTGAACAGTGTGTGATGGGAAGAGAGTGAAGTCGTGGTGTGCCTGTGTCTGTTCTGTGTATGTGAGCAGATGTTGTTGCAGGCTGACAGGTTGTTGTCTTGCCTTTTCCAGAGCCCAGCCCAGTCCAGAATCTCGAGGCAGAATATGTTGGCATGACTTCTATCACCTTAAGGTGGGCAGTGGACAACACCAGTTCCAACCCCTACACGTACAGGATAGAGGTTGTCAATGGAACCTCTGGCTGGAACGAGACGTCCAACGTCACCCGAGCTGAAATCAGAGAGCTGCTCCCTGGGACAATGTACAACTTCACAGTGTTTGCAGTGGCCAGTGATGGTCAGACTGAAGGAGAAGGAGAGACCATAAGCCTGTGTACAGGTAAGGAGACAGTGCCTGTGTACAGGTGAGTGGCAGTTTCTTGCAGCCCCATTTCTGGTGGGCTGTATCTTGCTGTGCAGCTCAGGGCTCTTGCTACTCCAGGTTGAAACACGTGTTGTTTCAGGCAGAAGTGCTGCACATGGCCTGCCTGCCCTCAGCGACCCTCACTTCTGGCAGGGGTTTCTGGGGGTGGTGCTGTTGCCTTCTCCTTCCTGTGAATGAGGCCCTCGGGCCCTTCCTTTGAAGGTCTGCCATGGAGCATGCTGGGCCTGGGGCAAATGCCCCTTTGGAGGGCCTCAGCTGGGCTGTGGGCAGCACTGGGCTGTGGGCAGCACTGGGCTGTGTGCCTCTCGGCCACGCTGCAGGAGAAGGCTGAGGCACTCCTGTGTTCTCCTGGTGGGTGTTGTGATCATTTTTCCCCCTTGTTGTGAGTTTGTGCTGCTGTGGAGCACAGGTATTTCTAACTGCACCAACAAGACAGCGATCCAAAGTCACTGTCCCTTCTCCAGAAGCCAGACACTCAGTGTCACCAGAGCTGTTGTTACAGACATATACCCTGGAACTTTCTATAATTTCACTGTGTTGCAGGAGTAGCTGACAGTGTTACTGAAGGAAAAGAAATATTCATAAAATGCAGTACAAATAGGTCTTAGTCACATCTGTCTTTTAACTAAATCTGTTTCTTCTGGATTTTGCTTATCCTTAGTTTCTTAAATTAATAGCCCTTTTTAATAACAATTTAATCCATGAGTCTTGTACCTCTGTGTTTGGAAGTACCAAATCCTTATCAAGAGAGAAAATAAATTTGCTGTGTGTTACAATTGCAGAAGCTGCAAAACTTGGCCTTTGAGACCAGAACTCTTAGGAGACAGTCAGTTTAGAGGGACCTTTCTTCTCAGTGTTACTGCTACATTAACATTTTAAATATCTTTTTCTATCTAGTGATAAGATTGCATTTTTTGTATTGCATCCTGTAGGACTCACACAAACTGACATGTAGTTGCTGTCTTAAGGATGACTGCTGCTGTGCTCTCAGTGCATGGAGCTTTTGTTTGCTTTCTTACTTCTTGGCTACTGAGAGTTTTATGTCATTATAGAGGGAGTTAGTGTCAATCTACATCTACTCAAATAACATTTTTAGAGTAGTGGTGTTCAATGGTTGAACGGTGTTTGGAAAACTTAGCTGATCTGGACAGATACTCAATGTGAATTTTCTCAGCAAAGCTGCCTGCAGAGGAGTTAGAGAGCACAGAAGAGGTCTGTGTACTTAGTGTGCAACTTATGCCTCTTCCTCATGGGGTAGCAAGTCCTTCTGGGCCATGGCTTCATCTTTTCCAAAGTGGAAAGAACTTCAACAAATGTTTATACACAGGGCAGCTTTTTCCATTTACTGCAGTACTTGATTTCTTACTCCTTTCTTTTATTATTATTCTTATCTTTCTTTTCTCCAGTTCCTGCCTCAGTGAACTCGTTTCAGTGTGAATCAGTGGCCAAGCAGTCTTCCCTACTGCTGAAGTGGCAGTGTCCTTCTGGTAACAATTCTGGCTTCAAAATTAAAATATTTAATGATACCTGGGAAAAAGAAGTCCAGGCTGGATCCTGTGTGAGGGAAGGCTCCGAGGAAACCTTCGAAGCAACATCTTTGGATTATTTCAGCACCTATAATGTTACTGTTGCAACTCTTTCAGCTCTTTCTGAAAGCCCTCCAGTGCAGGAGCTGTGTAATACGAGCATTACTGGTAAGCATTATGATTTGAGCATGAAAGATATTCATAGGACCAGAATATTAACTTCCTGAGTGCAGAATGCTAAACTGGATTATCAGCCTACAGATCATGAACAAGACACTACATTCATGCAAAGTCTACTGTGGTGCACAATAAAATGAACAGCATCAGTATTACAGCATTTCCTTGCTTGGAAAACTTTTCTTTATCAGTCATTAAGTAATGAAAAATGTTTCTGTTTATAGACCCGCCTGCTCCAAGCAAAGCTCCTGTAGTCAAGGCAGTCAGTCACAGCTCCTTGTCTGTTGAATTCTCTGATTTTGAATCAGTGAATGGACCATTAAAAGCCTATGCAGTAATGATCACAACAGAAGAACAAGGTAAGATGTCATGATACTATTTTGTAGGCATTTGAAACAACTCCTCATCACTGTTTTAAACTCTAAATAGGTGTTATGTGGATGCAGAAAAAGCTGACTCGGTATTTTCAGTCACCTTTCAAAAGTCATGAAGCAAATACATTGCTTGAAGTCAGGTCACTGTTTTCAGACAGACACTATTTTCACTCAGCCTTACTTGCAGTAAGATAGTTAAAAAAAAAAGCTGTTTTCCTTTTACTTACCAGACTATTAACAGAGAGAGGTGGGGTGCAGGTGGAAAGCTTGAAGAGCTTTGTCAGCATTACATGCCATGGGAGGCTGAATGCCAGGGAAAGCTCTTTAAAGCATCAAAACAGAGAAATGTCTTTAATTGGTGAATGGCTAGTGATCAGTCATAACGTTAAGGAGCTCACCTTTGCAGTGAAGGTTCTGGTTGAACTTCATTTCTGCCAGTGCAGGAGGAATAAAGCAGCTAATGGAGATAGGTTCCCCCACGTGGGAGCTGGCATTCACACTTCTCCTCTGTCTTAACACTGGAAATTCATCTTGAGGCAGTTTGACTGCAGAACTCTCCTCTCTTTTTCCAAGCAGTGTATGTCCAAGAAGTGCCCCTATATCTGTGTCTGTCTATCTATGTCTGTAGTACATCAGTGCAGAAAACTTGTATTTTTCCCATACCTGTTCAGCTGCCCCCAAGCTGCTGTTGTGTCAGTCTCTGCACACAGCACCAGCTCTGCTTGTGCCATCAGCCAGTCCTCTTTAGTCTCAATGGCATTCAGCACGTTCTTCTGTGTGGTTTTGATTGCCAGGTATCCAAGAAAGAGGACTTTGACAGGAGCAGAAAAGCATCCTTACAGCCAAGCATCACTTCAGCTTTATCCTGTTGAAACAGCTTTAATATGCTCAAGATGTGTTTGTCTTAAACCAGACATCACTACCTTTGGGCAGGCAGAGGAGGCTTTATTCAGTTGGGAAGCAGTGGTGTCTAAGGCTGAGATGTCCTAGGGTGATATTCCAGACATCCACAAGGAGCTCCAGATGTAACCTGGGCTGTGTGTCCTTTTGGAATGGAAAGTATGGACCAGGCAAGATTTGGGATGTATCTCAGATAGTATTGAACACCCATTTCTAGGCATCTGAGTTAATTGCAACCTCAGCTGCTTCTAGTGTAATGCCACTAGCAATTCAGAAGAGCTCTTGCACCCTGTTCCTGCAGTCATAGTTGGTGAGAACTTTGTTCCTGGTGGCAGTTGGCCACCAGCTCCCTGGTGGCAAATGAAATCTTGTCTGTACAACCCTAGAAAACTTACTAGAACTTTGTCACCTTTCAGAGCTCCTACAAGGCTTCTCCTTTCTAAAGGTGAATTCAATACTGTATCTGCTTAGAAGGAGCCTTTAGGTTTGCATAGGCAGTCAGCAGAGAGCAAGGTATTCCACTGCAGTCAAATGAGCCAGGCTCTTCTTCCTCCTGCAGCACTTCGAGTCTCTACATCAGTTTACTTGAGTTATTGTACAACTGGTTATTTGAGCTGGTTTATTATCTTAGGTCATATGTGCCTTAACTGTATAATCCACCTCGAGTTTCTAGGATTCATCTTCTACCAAGAGGCACTGTAAAGTGATGCTGTTCTGCTGATGCTATCACTGACTGCTCTAGCTCTTAAGTCTCCTGGAAGAGAAACTTCTGAGCACTGTTTTGTCCAGTGCTTGTCAAGAAAAGGCAGAAAATAACTCTTTAATTTCTTAGGGTTTAGATGTGAGACTTCTTGTAAGCCATAGGAAGGAAGTAAGGTCAGGATGAGTTTAGTGTCACCCTGAGTGAGCCTTGATGCTGTTTGGGTAGCACAGTGTCACCAAATACCAACTGACTTTTTCTACACTGTCTGCGTTGTGCTTTCTACGTGTGATGGTTGATAGAGTGCTTAGGGACATGAGTGACTTGTCTGGTGAAGGCTGTCCACAGGGACACCAGAATCCACCACTGACACCTTACAGAGAAGCTCCCCTGTACATGGTGGAAGTAAAACCAGAAGGAGATTGCAACAAATAACACTGGGGAGTAGGGAGGCAGTTCAGTAGATTGCAGTGCAGGAGAAGAGGTTTGTAGATTCTGTGGCCCTCAGCCTTTCATTCCAGGCAGTATTTCTGGAGTAATGGCAGCTGTGATGTGACCACATGAGGCACTGTGCTGACTGATCCAGAATGGGGGATGCTGTGTACCAAACATATCCCTGTTTTTTCCTGAAGGTTGCAGGTCTTTGGAGTCTAAGCTGAACAACACGTACAAAGATTTCAAGAAGAAGACGACAGTAACCTATGTAACATATGTCATAGACACAGAGCAGGCAAAATCACCTTCCTTCCACTCTCAGGATGGCACGAACGTCGTTAACGTAGGCAAGGGAAACACAGTGTATGGCTACGAGAACGGGCCCTTGATCCCACTGGGCTCATACAGGTATTTATTCCAAACCACTGGTTAATGCTGCTGCAGCTGAAATCTAAAAGATAATGTAGTGAAAAGATTACAGATCTTGCTTAAGGCTGTTAAAAGCATGTAACGTTCCTGTTGGCTGTTTGTTTTTTCTCCTTCTTCCCAGGGCGAGTGTTGCAGGGTTCACTAACATTACCTTCACTGTGGCCAACATCATTGTGGGGGAAGAGAGCTACGTATCGTTTTCACCCTGTTCTGAGGCAGTTTTGCTACCCCAGGATCCAGGTATGGTTCATGTCAAATACAGAACTGGCAGCTTGGCACATGCACAGCATGTGGAGACACCTTCATTATGGCAAGTCTCAAAACAGCAAAGCACCTCTTGGTTCCTCTGTGACAATCTGTCTTTCCAGCTTTGCAGTGACACTGCTCTGTCAGTTCATGCCTTGCTAGCTCTCAGGTGACCTTTTTCCCATGTATGACTTCCACTGTGGAAGTCACCAAAAACATGGCACTGTGAGACTTAGGTACAGAGACAAGTAGTCACAAGCAGCTGATGTTCTAACAGTTCTGGTAAATTAGAAGTGGGTGTACTGGAATGAAAATACTGGTCCTTTAATCCCAATTTTTTATTAGTTTATCAATGTGGGTTTATTATTCTTAGTGAACTTTCAATCCTGGTACTGGCAAAGGACACAGTAAAGAAAAGATGCTTAGTAGAGCAGAGTGTGCTCTGTCTCTTGTGAGGTTCTTCTGTAGCATGTTGATGGAGTTAGATCGTTACCAGGGAGGTACATCAGTAATGAGTAATGCTTGTTCTCCTTTCTCAGGTGTCATTGCTGGAGCTGTTATTGGATGCCTGTTGGCTCTACTGGCTGTAGTGGCTATAGGGGGGTTCATTTTCTGGAGAAGGAGAAGGTAACGTGTGTTTGTTCCTGTGTTTGTCACTTCTGTACCTTGCTGCTAAAAAAGGCTCTCCTTCTGTATACACTTCTGGCATCAGGCTTTAAAATGCATTCTAGTGAAAATCCTGTTACAGTAATTCAGTCAAAGTGAGCAAACATCACAGATTATTGTGCTAAAAGACATATGTAATTGTGTCCTATGTGGTTTTATTTTATATTATCCTTTAATCACATTTTTTTTTAATTAGTCCCTAGCCTGTCACATGAAACTTCCATTCTGAGTTTCCAGAAGCTGATGAGTTGCCTAGGGCTTGAGCTGGTTTCTCAATTACCAATCTTTTCCAAATAATCTGGGATTAAAGAGTCCACAAAGGCTTTTCCCTGCTTCTGGTCATGTAGTACATCCTTTCTAAAGAATTGGCTGTATGGCCCTTAGTCCAATTTTCTGAGTTTCTTTGAACTGCAGTTATTTTTACAAGCATGTCCAGTAGCTGTGGACAATAATGAGAAGAGCTTCCTTCAAAGCTAGGAGCAGTTATTTTCATTCAGTACCACTGGCACATCCCTGCTGAGCACTTGCTGTAGGGACGCTGGGTTAGTAGGAACTCTGGAGATGTTAGCTAGTGATGCAGATTCCTCAGGGCTACTGCTTCCACCAAGCTACGTGCTTTGTGTTCAGGTCTCTGGCCCCAACAGAAAGAAATGGGCCCGTTGCACATCTCTGGATGATGGGTGGGGTGTTTTGTTCTTACTCCAGGTGTAAGGTTTGCCTCCAGAGGGGCTTTCTTGCACAGAACGAGCAAAGATCCTTTAAAAGAAATTGTTCTGGACAGGCACAGGAAATAGCTGTTAGCAGAAGTCTCATATGGATTCCATTAAATTCCACTGTGGACCTATTGTGTTGTTTTCTTTCTCCTTATAGGAAAGATAAAAGAAATACTGAAGTGTCCTTTTCTCCAATTAAGTAAGTCCACATCCTTTCACACATTGTTTTCTGAGCTCAGGTGACATTTGCAAAACTTGCTCTGAACATGTTTTCTTGTTTTCTGTGCAGTTTAATATAGAACTATTCAGTCTTAATTCCTCATGGGATTTGAAGGCTCCAGCCTGTGGGCTAGAAATAGTCATGTTGATTGAGACTTGTAGAGCTGCCGTAGGGATTGGAGTCCTTGCTTCATGAAGTGCTAGGAGACACACAAGTACTCCACACAGTTTTGAGAACAGGAGGTTTGAAGAAGACAATCCAGCACAGTTCTGCACTGTGGCCTGAACTCTCCTTTGCTTTAGAAGGACTTTGTGCTGAGCCATTCACTCAAATGACGTTGATATTGTACAAGCTGTGGCTGTGGGAGGGGATCCACAACAAATGGGAAGCCACAGGCAGTGCACTCAAATCATCTTACTGCTCTTGCACCAGTTTTTGTGCTGATGGAAAGGCATGGCCAGAGCATCCCATGGAGTCCCACTGGGGTGGGTTTGATAGTTGACATAAACACACCAGGGGATGGGGCCAAGGTGGTGGGGGTACAGAAGTGGCTGAGTGATGCCTTCTGTGATGTTCTTCCCCTGAAGGATGTGCTGGATTCCCCTTGGTTTAACAGATGCTATGCCTGATATGCTGTCCCTTTTAAACTCACAGCTTTGTGGCTGCTACTAACAGTCGTGCATTTGTTGTTAGATTCACACAGTGAAAAATACAGCTGCATGTGTCTAATCAACCTTTTTTTCTTCCCCCCACCCTCCCCTGAAGAATCAAGAAGTAAGTAAAGCACACTTTCTAACACATTAACTAAATTCATGGTTTATTTCCCTAATACCAGTTACCAATACATGGCTTTTGTCATTTTAGATCTAAAATGATTAAAGTGGAGAACTTTGAGTCCTACTTTAAGAAGCAGCAAGCTGACTCCAACTGTGGTTTTGCTGAAGAGTATGAGGTATGTGCCTGCAGTGGAGAGAGCTTCATGACAAATATTCTTGGAAAGGCAAATTAGCTGCCCCATGGAGTGTGCACGAGCCTTACTGAAGGGGAAGAGAAGGGACCTTTTTATCCAGATCACTAAGGTGCATCCATGGCCTTCCTTTCCCTCATTCAGTTGAAGTGCACGATAAACACTTCACATCCTGAGCTGTTCTCTCTACCTGTGAGTTTATAGCACGGCCTGCTGGTCAGAGCTCCCCCAGGGACAGTACAGAGTTAGCCTAGGGAAAGCTGTTTAACTTGTATGCACTTTGGGTTTGTGCCTTGGTTTTGGTTTCCTACACAGCAAGACAAGCCTCTTGCTACTATCAGTGACTTTGCCAGCGTGTGGGTGGTGTGATTTCCAACCACACCTGTGAGTAGCTCGAAGGAGCAGTTGAAGAAGCAGCAGTTATGATTTGCTTAGTGACCATAAGTGTTTTTCTATGAGATGTGCTGAAGCTCAGTTACAAGGTACAGAAGACAGGAACCAAGTGTCAGTGAGGACTCTGTGTTGTCGTGTCTGCTGTTCAAGAGCCTCGTTGCTTATTGTCTTCTCAAAGCAATTAACTGACTTTCTTCTTCTTTCCAGATCCCATTCTGTCCCTTTGAGTGTACTTTGCAGGCTGGTGTTCTGCCTTCCTCTCAGATTTTGCTTCCCTCAGTCCTTTCCTCCCTGTAATGCCTGCAGAGCTGAAGTGGTTCACTGCCTCGGGGTCAGAATGTGTGTGCTGGTGACATCTCTCCTGTGGATTTCTGGGCTTTGAAAACTCATCTCTGGGTTTTTAACACACTGCTCTTCCTACATTCTATATTAATCCCTTCTCTATCAGGCTTGCCCCTGCCACCCTCCCACTTTGTATAAAACATGATTTCACACTGGAATGTGTCTACTTTGACAGCAAAGGCCAGGAGTGTTTGGAGTATTTGTCTGTTTCAGTCATGTGTTTCTGTATGGTTCCTAAATCAGAAACTGCTCACCAGTCCTCCTTTTATTGTAGGAACTCAAGTCTGCTGGTGTTCATCAGCCCAAATTTGCTGCTGAACTTGTTGAGAACAGGGGAAAAAATAGATACAACAATGTCTTACCATGTGAGTTACTCCTTTGGTTTTGCATCTTCTGCAGGTTGAGTTTTTAGGTGGAAAACCTTGGGTTTGGCTAATCTGGCATGACTAGTAGCCAAAGGTTTCAAAGAGGGTTTAACGTCACCAGTTTCCAAATGAGTGTGGGCTGCTGCTTTCCCCAGATCACTGTCTAAGCAAACCTAAAGAGCTTTCCCTCAAGAATGTTCCTTAAAGTTCCCAAACTTTCCCACAAGAAAGCTCCTTAAAGAACTTTCCTTTAATTAAACAATTTTCCATTTGTGAGAACCTCGCAGTCCAGACAGCAAAAACAAAGAGTTTTTTGGCTGGTTGACCACAGGCAGATAGATGTGCAGAGTGATGAGAAAAATGAAGAGCCTGCTGGGCAGACTCTGGAAGGGTCTGTGGGCACCCCAGCACAGCAGAGCATCAGGAGACCCTGCAGGGCAACCAGTGACCAGCTCTGGGAGATGCTGTGGAGGAAAAACATCAGCTGTGCTGGCAGCATGAGACAAACTGTTTTTCTCTAGTAATTAAAGCTTATAGTAAATTGTGTTTGATTAAAAAACACATAAATATGGAAAAACAAACCCTATTTCAAAAAAACCCAATCTGTGTTTAGTATTCTGAATCTTCATCATGGCCACTCATTTTTCTGAAAGCTCTCATTATGAAAATTCTTAACTAATGCTATTTATGATTCATAAAGCTATATTCTTATTCTTAAAATGCACATTGTTCTAAACCACCTTTTATTTAGGAACTGTGTTTTAGATAAACAGTATTTTGCTGAAAGATTCTCATTCTAAAGTTCCTAATTCTCTTTTCCTTTTTCTTTCTGCAGATGATATTTCTCGTGTGAAACTTTCCAGTCAAAGCTCTGTGACTGATGATTATATTAATGCAAACTATATGCCTGTAAGTTGCTTCATTAGTTGAAATGAAGTACAATTTGTATTTTTATGATGTAGGCTTAGTAGTTGATAATGATGCTTAAAATCAGGTTTTGATGTCTCATTGATGCAGGGGTGTGTGTGTGTGTGTGTATAGTTTTTTGGTTTATAGTGTTTTGTTCTTTTTCTCCTTAGGGCTATAACTCCAAGAAGGCATTCATTGCTGCACAGGGTCCTCTGCCCAACACAATAGATGATTTCTGGCGCATGATTTGGGAAAAGAATATCTACTCTATTGTTATGTTGACAAAATGTGTTGAACAAGCCCGGGTATGTTTAATAAGAACTGAACTTCCTCTTGAAGACAGTTGCATCTCTTCTAATTTTGCTGTTACCCTAGTAGACTGGAGACTGACCACTTCAACCATCCACTTACTGGAAGATTGTTTTATTTCTTTCTTTATTTTTTTTAATCTTTTTCTGTTTTTATCTGATGACTGCCAGAGTAGATTTCTCTCAGGAGGGTTGTGGAATCACTGTCTTTAAGGGTGGGCTCTTCTCCCTAAAGACTGATTTTGGCAGAGCTTCTCCTGCCTGGGACACACCGTTGGGAAGGGTGATGTGCTTTCCAGCCCTGCTTCAGGTGGTGTGTCATTTATAACTCACTGCTGTGTGTAATGTGTCTAATCTCATAACTCTCTTCTTAGACAAAATGTGAGCAATACTGGCCAGACAAACAATCCAAGAGCTATGGTGACATCATTGTGACAATGGTCTCAGAGGTGGTCCTGCCAGAATGGACAATAAGGGACTTCACTGTAGAAAAGGTGTGTACCCACTCGGATGCTGGTTGTCTGTGTATGAGTATCTGTAGAAGTGGTTTATTGTGTCACTGTGATTTCACAGGTCAAGCAACACTGGAGTGACAGAATATAATAATTTCAGTAAAACAGAATCAAATTCTAAGTTATCTGAGGGAAAAGTGGTTTGTTTTAGTTTGAGGCTTTGAATGGATCGATCTGCGTTCTGCCAAAAGTCTGATTTAAAATCTTTGACATTACTTAAGAACAATGAGATTCCTCTGATATTTACATGTATTAATTTGTTCCTATGCCCTGGCTTCTCACAACGATATCTTAGTACCTCCTCCAGAGCTGGGAATGAGTTGTCAGTGAGACCCTCCCTGTGGCAGAAAGGGATCTGCCAGCAAAATCCATCCTACTAGTGGGAATTACTGATTGCCCCACTGGTGATCCTGCAGCTCCTGTTTCCCTGAGGCTTACCCCAACACTTGTGCTTACACATGTACTTGTGATACCTGCCAGACTGAACAGTTAACCCCATCTCTGTCTGCAGATGTAATGCAGCAGAGATGACCTTGGAGTAAAGTGAAAAGTAAAAGGAAATTATTTCAATGTATTCTCTACCAGAGGGGAGACTGAGAGATCCTTGATCAGCTTACTGCACAGTTTCTAACAGGCATCGTGAGGCTGAGCTTTGCCCAGGACACGTGGCAGGAAGCTCCACTGCTGCTCCTCTGAAGCCAGTTTGATTTTTCTGATGTGTTCCTGTAGAGCAACACGCCGGAGAGCCACACGGTGCGCCAGTTCCATTTCACCTCCTGGCCAGACCACGGGGTGCCAGAGACCACAGACCTTCTCATCAACTTCAGGCACCTTGTTCATGAGTACAGCAGTCAGAATCCAATCGACTCTCCCACTCTGGTGCACTGCAGGTAGGCACAACGTGCTTGTGTTAGGTGTGATTTTATCCTGTGGCTTTTTTAAGAACAGTTCTTTTTCAAAGTGCTTTAAAAAAAGAAACAAGGGAAAGAAGTCCTTTTGCTTAAGGACATGGGTGATTCACCCTGATAAATAAGAACTGTTGCCCTGTGCTTCAGAAATGTGATGATGCTATGCAGGTAGCAAAGTATGTGATACAAAACTTCTTTAGAATAGATCTTCTCTCCTAGCCTGGAAAACTTAGCTGGAAAAGTTGCCTTTTCAAGCACTTTCCTATGTAGTCTTATGAGAGTGGTGAGACCCTGGAATGGGTTGCCCAGGGTGGTGGTTGAGGCCCCATCCCTGGGGGTCTTTAAGGCCAGGCTGGAGGAGGCTCTGGGCAGCCTGATCTAGTGGGAGGTGTCCCTGCTCATGGCAGAGGGGTTGGAACTGGGGGATCCTTGTGGTCCCTTCCAACCCTGACAGATTCTGATCTGTTTTAGCAGAGGACTTTAGAGCCCTAATGGCTCAGTGGTTGGACTTGATGATCTTGGAGGTCCCTTCCAACCTAAAGGATTCTATGATTCTGTGATTCTAAGTGCACAGTTGGGAAGCCCAGAAATGTGTCCTGCCTCCCTCTTGGTGATGGTAAGAACCACCCCTCCGGGCTGCAGAGACTCTAATGCCTGTGCCACTGAGAAGACACAAAGCACCTCCCTAGGTTCAGTGGCGTTTCAGCGGTTGGCAGGGGCGGGGCCGAGCAGTGAGCGCCTGCCCGTGTCGTTGCAGCGCTGGCGTGGGGAGGACGGGGACGTTCATCGCCATCGACCGCCTGATCCAGCAGATGGAGATGGAGAGCGCCGTGGATGTGTACGGGGTGGTCTACGACCTGCGCATGCACCGGCCCCTGATGGTGCAGACCGAGGTGAGGCTGCCCCCACCCCGCAGCCCGCTGCCCGGTGCGCGCCGCGGTCCCGGAAGGGTGGACTCGAGATGTAGCTCAGAATGACAGGAAGATAAGATATTAAGGAGCAATCTGCGGTTGCTCTTTGTTTAACTGCCCTCCTTCCTGCCTCATCTCTTCCCACAAAAGCAGTTGCAGCCAGGGCTGCAGTGTGTCCAGCTGTCTCTGCAGAGAGCTTTGGAGGGCTGGCGTTTGCAGCTGGAAAGAATCAAATCCTGAAAGTGTTTTGTGCAGCTTGTTTTACCCATGTGGGTTTTATCCTTACAGCTGTGAGCCAGAGTAGTCTTGGTGTACAGCTCTGCTTTTGTCTTCCGTGGGGACACACGTGTTCCTGCTGCAGTG